GCCTCCTCCTCCTTAAATAGGGCTTCCTGATGAGCAGATGGAAGACAGGTGTTGCAGTCAGTTCATGTCCCCAGGAGATCTCGTGCGCCCTCTGGTGGAGAAAGTGGACAAAGCCTCCAGATCCAAACAGAATTATGACTAGACAAAAACTAAAATCGAGATATCTTAAAATTATTTTATGACTAGTCGTAATTTAATCATACATATCTGAAATGTGTATTTCAGATAGTCAGTAATTCATTCTAGATATCTTAAATTGTTGTCTCCATACAACTTAATGGTAAATCTGACGTCATTTTGACTAGTCAGAATGTAATTAGAGATATCTTAAATCGCTAAAATGTCTAGTCATAAAACAATTTGAGCAGAGATGGCAAAAGTACTAACTTTCCGTACTTGAGTAAAAGTACAGATACTTGTGTTAAAAAATACTCTGGTAAAAGTGGAAGTACTGATTAAACTTCTTTACTCAAGTAAAAGTAACAAAGTACAGGCTTGTAAATTTACTGGATGTCTGCCAATAGGACTAGATCTCCGTTGTGTTCATTTTCAATCATCTCGTCGTCCATGCTACTATGCTAACGCCACCGCCACCAAGCTGCAATGATTTGCCGCCAATGAATACCACCAAATCTGTCGAATCATCTTGTAGTGGTGCGTCAAATGCAACGTAGATTCCCATCCAATTAGATTGAATTTGGTATTGATGACGTGAAAAATAATAACGGTAACTCCATTGAAATGATTCAAAACTAAACTAACGAGCCAATTTTTTAAAATGTAAGGAGTAGAAAGTACAGATATTTGTGTAAAAATGTAAGGAGTAGAAGTAAAAAGTCGCCATAAAAATAAGTAGTAAAGTAAAGTAAAAATATCAGAAAAATGTACTTGAGTACAGTAACGAAGTATTTGTACTTCGTTACTTCCCATCTCTGAATTTGAGATATCTTGAATGTAAAGGCGGTACAACTGAATTTATGTTTTACGGCTTGCAATACAAAACAAATTTAAAGATATCTTGAATTGTAACTTCGACTATTCGAAATTCCTTTTAAGATACCTCTAAATTAATTAAAGATATCTTGAATTATTCAGCTTTTTTATGAATGTAATGATCTTTTTAATGGGCTTCCAGGAGGCTTAATCCTAAAAAAAATTCCTTACTGTCAGTTTAATTCAAAGGAGTTAAATCAGCGTGTGTATGGCAAATCCAGTGACGTATATCTTAAAATTAATTTTGACTTGGTAAAATGTAATTTAAGATATCTTGAAATATTATTCTTCCTAATCAGAATGTAAATACAGATAGGCCTATCTTAAATTACCATTCCAGATAGTCAAAATGTATTTTAAGATATCTGGAACGTAATTGTGGATGGTCAGACGAAACCGAATTTATGTTAGAAAGGCTTGCCATAAGCTGCCAACAGATTGGATGAGTTAGAATCCAGGCACGCGCACTCCAGCCCAGTAACCATTTCCGGGGAGCCAGGCCTTGGCCAATAGTTGTGAAGCTTTGCCGGTGACGTCGCTCCCCTCCCCTCCCTTCCCGGCATTGTTTAAACATTAAGGGCTGCTGACGACCAAGTGGAAATACAGCAAGTAAAAAAACACGAAGTAAAAAATGAAGTGGAAAAAGAGAAGGAAATAAAAGGGCAGGTGTAAATCCTTTGGGTAAAAAAAAACTAACAAAAAAAAACAGAAAAGTTAGAGGCAGAAATAAATCATCGTTTCAGAAACACAGGGATGTTAAAACAAAATGAAAAGGAATATTTACAGTGAAGTAAAAAACATGGTTAAAAAATGTTGAGGTGTAAATCATTATGAGACAAAAATAGAAACAACTTTTAAAAATGTTGGCGTGAATAAATATGAAACAATAAAAAAGGTTGCAGTGGAAATACGGAACAAAAAACCTACTTGCAATAAATACACAGAGACAAAATAGACTTCAATAAAAATGTATAACAGAAAAGAAGTGAGTTAAAAATAAGTCAGCATAAAAGCTAGAAGAAAAGTAAAAATAAAAGTGTAAGTTAAAATATATATTTTTTGATAAATAATTGATCAATTGTTGAAGAAATATCTTCTTTTTATTATTTTGTCACATTTTATGGAACACAAATTCATATTATTAGCTTCTTTTTCAAGCAATTTTATATTATTAAGTGCTTCATTTATTTCTGTACGTATTTTTAATTATGGGAGGATCAGTCCTCCATGCCTGGTAGCCGCAGCTGTGACAGGTTAAAATTATTAAAATATTTTTAAAGTTAACCATACACAAATTAAAATAGACAGATTTAAAAGACTGATATCTCAGTTAAAAACAAGAGTTAAAAATAATTCATATTTCATAATTATCATTTTGTTATGATTGTTAAAAAGTAGTGGTAATACAGTACTAAGAGTATTCATACTATGTACACTATTTACAATTTCTTAAGAGTTCCATGGTTTGTAGATTGATTGCTTCTGTCCAGCAGAGAACTGTGTTTTGGGCTTGCGCAGAAAGGTTTTGGTGTTCTTTGAATAAAGATAAAGTGAGTAAAGACGTCGGCAGCATCTCCATTATTCATTTTAACTCAAAAGCAACCATGTACCTCTCCCAAGATATCGGAGCAGAGGGCGCAACACAGCTGTCTAGTCTTTCCTCTACCTTTCACATAGCAGCAATCTCTTTCTGATTCCTTGTTTTCTAGTCTGTGTGCGCGTGCATGCTTGGAGCACGAAAAAAAAAAATGACACTAGAACAAGGCGTTTACTAAAATTAATATTAGGCTACGAAACTAGTCCCAATTAAAAAACTAAATATTTTCTAGGCGAAAACAGGCGAAAGCTTCTGATTGCAGTTCTGTAAACAAGCAGGAGAGAGTTTGGATTTGTGGAACTTGAGAAATGAAAGTAACCAACGTTAGGATTTCTTTTATAAAACTAAATATTCTGAGTCAGACTGGAGTTCAGAAAACTGCTGTTAAAATGAAAAAGCAAAGACTTTAAGCTATAAAGATTTCTGATTCCCTTTTACCAATATTGCTTTGCTATTGTTTTCATGTTTGAAGGCGGTTCAGGTATTAAACCAGGTGAAACAAAAACGTTTCCTCTTGAGGAGTTTTGGATGGAGAATATTGACAAAAACTTTTTCTGATCTTAAATGCAAAATCTTTACATATTTTTTACAATCTTGTTATAATTCCTGCTCTAAGTGGGTCGCTCTGTCGGCTAAAGGCACATTTTAGTGGCCCTATACTCCAGTTACTGATTAATCAATTACTGAAGTAGTTGATTATTTCAATAATTGATTAATAGGATTGTTTCAGCCCTAGATAAAATACATGTAATGGGCAACACAGAGCAACTACAGCCCATATGTACAACTTTTAGGGTGAAGTTAATATTTTAAATGCTCAGTGTCAGTTTCTCTTATACTTCCAGTGCAAATGTAAATACAATACATTTATTTTTCATCCCTTGAATGTATTATTTCTCTTGATACAGAGAGAGCATATTAGATAAAAAAAAAATAAGATTGGGGTTTTCCTCTGCACAATTCTATATCTTCAAAAGAAAACAATCCACATATAACAGACATATTTAGACTTTATTTGGTTAATTAGGCACGTATTTACCTACTGTCTTAGTCGCTGGTAGGTTTAAATGCAAACCTTTTCAAAGTGGAAAAAAGTCCTAAGTCCACATTGGCCAGTGAAGCTTTAAGCATTGATAAACAGCATCTAGTGCATGTAGTGCTTATTAGATTTGTATTAATGTAGCAAGAAATGCTGTTGTTCTCTTTAAACAAAATGTGTCCTGATGCTCACATTAAGCGTAAAAACAGCATGCACATTTTTGCAAAGGACCAATGACATCAGACCAATGAAACTGAAGACAAACTGTGTCCCTACCAAATCTGAAATCAAACCTATGACTTTGAACGTGTTGAAACGAGCAAGGAGCTGTTTGCTTTCAGAGAAAGGAGTAGACACTGCTGTCAGCGACATGCTTTCAAGCAAACGCTTGTGTTTTATTTATTTTTAAAACAGTATAACTGGCGATATTTTGCTAAAACATGTGAAGGGAAGAATAGAATAGAGAAACTCATCTTTCATGAACATAAAACCTTTCAAATTTCACCTTCAGTAAGCTGGAATTGAGGCGGATTAATATATTACTGCAATCTTGCAGATGCATAAAAGCAAAAGAATTGATCAAACTGGATTACATGGACTTAATGTCATTTAAATAAACAAACATTGGCCATAAAACATCAGAATACAGAAGAGATGGATAAATACATTATTTATATCAAATGCAATTATATTTATTTACAGTAAATGTATAAATACTTTTTTTCAAGTCAGGAGACTTGACCAAAGGGCTTTACACTACATTCAGTCATTCACCCACTCACACACTGATGGTGGCAAGTTACATTGTAGCCACAGCTGCCCTGGGGCTCACTGACAGAAGCAGGGCTGCCGTACACTGGCGCCACCGGGCCCTCTGACCACCATCAGTAGGCAATGCAGGTGAAGTATCTTGCCCAAGGCTAAATAGATTATATTTATTTGATTATTTTTATTATTTTATTTGATTTCTAATAATGATTAAATCTGTTAACAACCTGTTTTTTGTAATTTAGTTTTTGAAATTTACGTTAAACAGACAAAATATTCATCTCACCGTCTCAAAAAGAATGGTTCATTTCTATCCTCTTGCTGACTTCCAGGGACATCAATGCCAGAAGTCCTCACTCCCTTAACCTTCTAACCGGGGTATTGAGGCTGGAAGGCTGCTTCCTCCAGGTGGTACCTGACACTTTTGACAATCGCTGTCCTCAGAAAAAAAATCAGTCAAGGAGAATCCTGCCATGACAACGCTAAATTGTAGTGGGGAAAAAGTATTAAACTCTTCACCCAGGTTAAATAAACAGAGATCGATGGATTTCACTCAGTCAGCATTTATTCATATCTTTGCAAAGAGAGAACAGTTCATCATACAGCCCTTATGGCACAGCATTCAGCCCTGTTCAACCCGAGCAGCGTCCGTTCCCCTTTACTTACAACAATGGAAAGGTAGTCAGAGTCAAAACAAATTACAGACACTTTGGTTAACAGTAACATGTTATGAATAAACCTTGAGAAAGAATCTGGTTTGTTATTGGAAGAAGCTATGTCTAGTCTAGAAACACCATCCCACAGAGAATGGCGTGGCCTTGCAGGTGAAACAGACTGGTTGAAAACTTTATAGTGAGTAAATAGGATAAATGAATATATAAAATTAGAGAAATCTAAATTTTCTGATAGGACCTAGAGGAAAGGCATTTTGCCATATCAGCCCCTTTAAAAAAAATACAACCCAATCTGGTCATGAGCAGGCGCATGAAATCGTCTGCACCAAATCATTCCTCTTCATTTTCTTAAGAATTTCCTTGGCAATTTCCAAAGCAGATGTGGTGTAGACTTGTAAAATCAGATCCACCAGGTCTGTAGATTCTGCCATTTCCACTCGACTTGCTGGGATACTCAGGGGGCCTGGACTCCTATGTAGGCTCTTCAGGTGCCATTTGAAAGTTCTAACTTCCTTTTGATTCAGATCCTCTATCACACTCAAAAGCCTCTCATGTGATGTTGTGGCCTACAGATTCACAAGAAAAAGCACAAAACATCTCATTGTTTCAAATGCTTACTTGTTACTAAAATATTGGTGTACAGACTTGCATGATGTTGAGAGTACCAGCATTATGTAATAACAGCATCAATAAAAGTATAACCTTTTGACAACAAAGTAGTTCAACTAACACATTTTCACATACTGCTAATGCCCTTATATTACGTTCAATCTACTACCACTCGATCGTTCAAAACAACTTTTTATAAGCACACTTTTGCTGCTAGTAGATAAGGGTTTTAGTGCAGCGAAGCGGGGGAAGAAATGAGACATATAATGCTGTTTGGCTGAGGGGACATAATGTGGGCAGGTGTTATGCAAAGAAGCATGTTGTTTCAGCATGTAATACATGTTTGAGAAAATATTTTCCCAACTGTTCCTCTTTTCGTCCATTTAAAAATGTGAGCTCATTTATTTTTCTTTATTACACAAAAGTATTTACTAATGCTGCACAGCTGGTGGAATAGGCTATGCATGAGGCTTATCTTACCAATGGTAGAGAAGAGAAGCTGTTTGCTATTGAGTGTGAAATGCTTTGAAAAGGGAGCCAAACTCCTTTAGGTTCGAGGTTGTTTAACATCCATGTTTGTAGAAAATAGTTTGTAAATTGATTTACTTGTACTCATACTCCGCTTCTTTCTCTTTATCTGGGACCGGGTGACGGGGAAAACACTCTCAGTACAGACTCCCAGACTAACCTCTCCCCAGATACCTGCCAAGCCAGTGGAGAGACATCATCTCTCCTTGTGTTGGGTTGTCTCGGGTTGTCCCCTGGGCCTACTCCCACTGGAATGTACCTGGAACACAGCCCGTTGTGTTGGGATCTGGAGGCTTGTCTAACTTTCTCCACCAGAGGGCACCTGAGATCTTCCTTCTGAGGTCATGAGCTGACTTCTACACACCTGTTTCCCATCTGCTGATCAGGAAGCCTTCTTAAGGAGGAAGAGGCTGACACTTCCCTGCCAGAGTGTTTGCCAGTAATGGTACCAGCAAAACCTGAGCCAGCCTTTCAGATCAGTTTCTCTGATATTTTGTGAACTAGTCTGACCCTGTGTTCTTCTGCCTCTCAGATCCTGACTTATCTGGATATCTGTATAATCCTGGAGAAAAACAATCGCTGCCTGGAACCTGCCTGTCTGCCCTCCGCCTCAGCCTCCGTCTCTGCCTCTGCCCTCAGCCTGCCGACCAGCCTCTGGACCCACAAGGTTCCCCCCCTGCTGATCTGAATTCCCTCTGAGCAGGTATTAATCCAAGCTGCCGTTTTACTGCAATTTTCCTGGATCCACTCTAACTGATCTGTCCTCCTCTAGTGGTTTACCTCCCGTGACCAGTCTGACGAGTCTGAAGAGTGTTTCTGCGTGTGGGTTAGACGCTTAGACCCCAACATGACAGTGGGAGGCTTCCAGAGGGCATCCTCAAAAGATATCTGTGCCATGTCAGCTGACTTTTTACAGTGTGGAGCAGAAGAGGTACTACTCTGAGTTTATGCCAAATGATCAAGCTCCTCACCCCATCTCTAAGGGAGAGCCCAGCCCCCCCTGTGAAGAAAGCTAATTTCTGCCTCTTGTATCCCTGATCTTGTTCTTTCAGGTCATAATCCAGAATTCATGACCATAAGTGAGGGTAGGAAAACAGACCAACCAGTAAATCAAGAGCTCTGCCTTTTCACTCAGCTCTCTCTTCACCTTGACAGACAGGTGCAGGGTCTGCATTATAACAATACCTGCAAAGACCCATCAAACGATCTGCTCCATTCTTCCCTCACAAGGAAAAGGACCCCAAGATACTTGAGCTCCTCCACTTCAGCAGTCACACTTCTCCCACCAGAAGGGGAAAACCAGCTTTTTCCGGTGGAGAACCATGGCTTTGAAATTGAAGTAACTGACTCATCCCGGTTGCTTCACAGGCACCTGCAAACCGCCCCAGTGCATGCTGTAGGTCTTGCCAGAAGGGAGCTAGCAGAACCATGTCTTCTGCAAAAAGGAGGGATGAGATCTGCTGGTGCCCTAACCAGACCCCCTCCAGCCCTTGGCTGTGCCTCAAAACCCGGCCATAAAGGTTATCAACAGGATCAGTGACAGAGGGTAGCCCTGTCAGCGTCCAACATGAACAGGGAAAGAATCATACTTAATGCCAATCAGATTAAACCCCTGCTCTGCTTATACAGAGACCTGATAGCCCCTAGTAAAGGGCCCCCGACTCCGTACTCCTGACGCATCCCCCACAAGGCATCATTAGGGACACAGTCAAAAGCATTTTCAGTTTCCACAAAACACATTTGAGCTAGTTGGGCAAACTCCCAAGCACCTTCGAGCATCCTGCACAGAGTATATAGCTGGTCCACTGTTTCATGGCCAGGAGAAAAAACGCTCTGCTCCTCCTGAAGCAGAGGTTCGACAATCAGCCGGACTCCCCTCTTTTCGGGACCCTGGCATAGGTCTTCCCAGGGAGGCTGAAAGGTGTTATCCACCTATAGTTGGAACGCACCCTCTGGTTCCCCGTCTTATGCAGGGGACCCACCACCCCTGTCTGCATATCCAGGGGTACTGTCCCAGGACTTAAGTCAGATCTCATTCACCCCCAATGCTCTGCCACCATGGAGTTTTGCAAACACAGCCTTGTTGATGAACGAATCCAGGCCTGAGCACGTCAGCCAGATTGAAGAGATCCTTAAAGTATCCCTTCCCTCATCCAAAAATATCCTCTTTCAAGATCAGTAGCTCTTGACTCCCACTAAAAACAGTGTTAGCACAGCAGTGCTTCCCCCTCCAGAGACACCAAACCATTTGTCTAAGGAGTTTAAGCCAAGGCAGCCACCCAGGCAGTAACATGCTTGACCTCATAACAACTGCTAGCTGTTTTAAGGGATCCAGGCAAGGCTAGATAAGACTCCCTTTTCAGCTTGACGGCATCCTTTAGTGTCGGTGTCCACCAACAGGTTTAGGGATCGCCGCGACAACAGGCACTGCTGACCTTACAGACAAAGCTATGGGCGGCTGCATCGACAATGTAGGCAGAGAGCAAGGACCACTCAGACTTAATGCTTCTCTAAAATCAGAGGCTAAATGTTCCTGCGATGTTCTGTGTGAATCTGGGAACAAAGATTTAACTATGTCTGTTACAAGCAACTTTAATCTCATGAAGCACCTTCTATCAACAAACCATTAAGAAAACAATGACTGACAATTGGCTTCCCTATTATTGATCAATGCCATCCATTTTCTTACACGCTTGTCCCGAGTGGGGTCGCGAGGGGTGCTGGTGCAGTCAATGGGCGACTCTTTACTTCACTCCTATCCTATATTCACTTGGTATACATTAATGTTATTTTTTACATGGACATACTGGAAGTAGGAGGACGTTTCTGGGAAGAGGAAGCCTGGGAGTCTCTGCTTAGACTGCGGCGCCCTCAACACAGTTCCAGGAAAGTGAAAGGCATCAAGTATAAGTACCAGAATCTGAAGTTTATGTACAGAAATTAGGGATGTCCTGATTCACTTTTGTAATTATTGATACCTATATTGACCCGATAAAAATTATACATAGTTTTATTACTTTTCTTGTATTGTGGAATTTTAGAAACACCTTGATCAAGTAATCTTATTTGAACTAACAACAATGTAAACAACAATTGGTAGAAAACGACTGAACCATTATTTATTAACCAGTGGCTCACATAAACTTGAAACAAAGGCCGGTAGAAACAAGGTGTTTATATCAGGTTGCGTATATGGGGAAAGTTAGATGCAAGCCGACATCATTAACATATTTGTGATTTAGCTGATTTTGTGCCAAATTCCAATATTATATTGGGACATGCCAGAATGAAATGCTATCAAAACAACTGATCTACTCAAAACCAACTCTTACCTGCTCGGGTTGGATCCTGGTTTGCCGACCTGTAAGAGAAGAAAAATATGTTGAGATATTTCATGGATCTTCAGGTAAAAACATGCAGCTTTCATCATAGCTCATGTCAGCGACGCTCTGTCTCCATCAGTCAGGATGAACCCGACTCACAGTGACCCTTTAGAACATGTGTGAAGGTGATAAATAGCTTGTCTTCCTGATATATGTGGAGTTCCAGAGATTATAAGCTCATAACATATGCAGAACCTTCTTACAGTAACCCTATCCACACCCCACAGTCTGGGGCACCATCACCATGCTACCAGCAGGGGCATCAGAGGAGGTTCTGCTGAAGGGGTTTTGTTTTCATCTGTGTTGGTTGGTCTGTTGATCTTTTTTTAAAATAACAAAAAAGCTATAGACGGATTTATCTGAAATCTTCAAAGAAGGTACGTATTGTGAAAGGCAAGAAATTCTAACATTTTAGTCATGATCCAAATCCATGATTTCTTTTCAAACCTGTGATTAGTGGTGTTAACTTAAGGTGGAAGTCTCAATATTTCGAGGAAAATAAGCTACAGACTTCTACGGATGAAACAGTGGAACGCAACTGCCGAAGGAAGAGTTGCAGGAGACGCAGAAAGAGAGACGCAGGAAGCGAGGCTGCATCCAGCAATACCGGACAATGCTATTAGCCTGGAGGGGCTAACGCTATACCGCGCCGATAGGAACAAAGAACTCTGAGGTAAGACTCAATGTGGTGGGCTCTGTGTTTGCATCAACGACAGCTGTTGCGAGAACGCTAGACCAGTCGCCAGCTTCTGCTCTCAGACATCGAGTTTCTGACTGTTAACTGCAGACCGTTCTATATGCCCAGAGATTTCAGTGTGGTTAGCATCACTGCTGTTTATTGACCCCCAGTGCTAACACTAAAGAGGCCGTGAATGTTCTTTACCAGCCTATCTCTGAGCTCTCCGACCTGCACACAAGAAGGGTGTTTTCATAATTACTGGGGATTCTCCCTCCTTTTTACTAACGTGGACTTTGCAACTCAGGGTGAAAACATTTTAGACCTGGTTTACTCTAACATCAAAGATGCATTCAGAGCAGCCCCCCGCCCCCACCTCGGGTCATCAGATCATCTCTCATGCTTATCCCTATGTATAAGCCCTAGCTGATCAGGGCTAAAACGACAGATAAAGAGGTCAGAGTGTGGTCTAAGGGCACCAGGAGAAACTCCAAGACTGTTTTGAATGCTCTGACTGGAACATCTTCATGGCTGCAGCATATTGATGAGTATGCCATGAATGTGTCAGCCTACATCAACAAATGCATTGAGGACGTCAGCATCAAAAAGAACATCAGCACCCGGGCCAACCACCCAACCCTGGATAAATGGAGAGGTTCAGAAATCACTAAAAGCACACATCTCAGCTTTCAAGTCTGGTGATAAGGGGGCACTGAGAACAGCGCGTGCTAACTTAAACCGTGCCGTCAGATCAGCGAAGCAGAACCACAGCCAGAAGATCCAGGATCTTTTCCACAACAACAGTTACACCAGAAGAATGTGGAAAGGCATTCGGATGATCACGGACTACAACACCCCCCAGTAGATGCAGCAAACACTGACTTTCTAAATGAACTGAACAACTTCTTTGGAAGGTTTGAGGCTCTAAACAGCACTCCAGCAGTGAAAGCTATTCTACACCAGGGGGAGGAGGCACTAAACCTGGACGTAGCTGAAGTAAGGAAAACTCTGAGGAGAGTCAATCCAAGGAAGGCCCCAGGGCCTGATAATATACCTGGGCAGGTGTATAAGGAGTGTGTAGATCAGCTGGCTGGTGTCCTCACAGACATATTTAACACCTCGCTGGACCAATCCATAGTGCCAGCATGCTTCAAGTCTGTCACCATTATTCCAGTCCCAAAGAAGCCACAGGTCGTCTTACTCAATGATTACCAGCCTGTAGCACTGACTCCAATCATGATTAAGTGCTTTAAAAGGCTGGTTAAAGAACACATCGTCTCCAGTCTGCCACCAACATTCGAGCCGTTCCAGTTCGCCTACCGACGAAACCGCTCCACTGAGGACGCCATCTCTGCTGCTCTCCACCTGAGCCTGGCACACCTGGAGGAGAAGAACACTCACGTGCCGATGCTGTTCCTGGACTTCAGTTCAGCTTTCAACACCATCAACCAACAGCATCTGATGGGCAAACTGAAACAGCAGGGATTCAATACAGAGAACACCTCTGATGTCATCACCCTAAGCACAGGCTCCCCTCAGGGCTGCGTCCTGACCCCCCTTCTGTTCACCCTGATGACACATGACTGCGTCCCCAGGTTCACCACTAATCACATGGTGAAGTTTGCAGACGACACCACGGTAGTGGGCCTCATCAGTGATGACAACAACCTGGACTACAGAGAGGAGGTGGAGCAGCTGGTGGACTGGTGCAAAGATAACAGCCTGATCCTGAAGAAGATGAAGGAGATCATCTTGGACTTCAGGAAGGGCATGTACTTCTTGCGGAGGATGAGGAAAGCCACCTGCCCCCACCCATCCTCACCACCTTCTACAGAAGCACCATAGAGAGCTTTCTGACCAGCTGTCTTACTGTGTGGTGTGGAGGCTGCAGCGCCTCAGACTGGAAGAAAGTGAGAAAAGTGGTGAGAACAGCAGAGAGGATCATCGGGGCTCCTCTTCCATCCATTAATGACATTTCATCCCTGCGCTGCGTGTCCAAAGCCCGTAACATCATCAATGACCCCTCACACCCCCACCATGGACTGTTCTCCCTGCTGCACTCTGGGACCTGCTGGACCTGCCTCGGATGCTTCAAAGCATCCGAGGCAGGTCCAGCAGATTCCACAACAGTTTCTTCCCCACTGCCATTAGACTGCTTAATGTTGTGTAAAATGGGTTATTTTCTTTATAAAAAAAAAGAAATGAATTTTAAAACTGTAAATATACAGCCATATGTGTATATTATTATTTTTTCATGTATTTATTACTGTTTTCAAGCTGCACTTTAAAAAATGAAATTGTCTAGAGCTGTTTTAAGCGGAATTTCTTTTTTTATACACTCGTGTATACAAAACCACCAACAGACCAATATGAAGGATTGAGGATCTTAACCTGATCATGAAGCTCAGCTGATGTAAAAAACACCCTTAACAGTTTCTGATACAGACCCAGAAACCTCCACCAACCATGGATCTTCACATTGTTCTCCTGAGATCAAGGAAGTCAGGAGTTAATAGAAACATTTTAACCAACATGATAAAGAATCGTCCCTGATAGTTATACACCGTATAGCTCTGAAAACTGTTAACTCACCCTCTGCCTGGTTTTCTTGGTTCTTTTCCAGTTTGTCCACAAATGGACGCAGCAGGTTCTGGACACCAGGGTCGTTCCTTGGTATCTCCTTCATTGCTTCATTGACCAAGGAAATGGATCCCTCTACGCCAAATCTCTGAAAGAGTTCCTCAGGAAGTTCCCTCTTAAACTTAGCAGTTATTCTTTTCTGTGAGGGACCTTGATTTTTCTCATAGAATTCCACCATCTTCTTGTACTGAGATCTCTCCAGCTTTCTGAAGATCGTGGTCATGTTGTGTTTCCACACATCTTCTGAGATGTTTGACATCTGTGGAGAAAGCAGAAAATGCCACTAAAATGGACAGATTAAGATAAATTCATCAAATAAGGAAATCATCCCTGGCCAGGTGAAGAAGGGGTCCTGGCGGTGCTGCAGCAACCCCTAGTGGTGAGAGGGAGATTTTTTTTAAATGGATTAAAATTACTTTGCACAATTTATACATTTCTTATGAATATTTTGGAAAATGATTTTGCCTCTTATTCCGTTTACTATTACGTGTATTTGGATTTTTAATGTAATTATTTTGAAGCATAATCAAAAAAAGTTATTGGAAGTTACATTGTCATGGCAACGTCAAGCAAGCGAGAGCAAGGTATCCTGCTCGCGGCAGCAGACTAGTAAATTTAAATCTCTTCATTGGCTTCCTGTTAAATCCAGAATAGAATTTAAAATCCTCCTTCTCACCTATAAATCCTTAAATGGCCAAGCTCCATCTGATATCAGAGATCTGATTGTTCCTTATGTTCCAAACAGAGCACTTCGCTCTCAATCTGCAGGTTTACTAGTGGTTCCTAGAATTTCTAAAAGTAGAATGGGAGGCAGATCTTTTAGTTATCAGGCTCCTCTCCTGTGGAACCAACTACCAGTTTTAGTCCGTGAGGCAGACACCCTGTCTACTTTTAAGGCTAGGCTTAAAACTTTCCTTTTTGATAAAGCTTCTAGTTAGAGTGGCTCAGGTTATCCTGAGCTATCTCTATAGTTATGCTGCTATAGGCTTAGACCTCTGGAGGACATAGGGACCCCTTTTCATCATTCTGCTTCATTCTATCTCTATTCTCCCACTCTGCAGAATCTATTAGTTCAATCTCTATCATTCTGCTCTCTCTGCTTTTTCTCATAGTAGCCTCGCCTCGTCTGTTCCTGTTTGGCTGTGACTCCATCCTGGAGAGAAATATCAGCTGTGCTGCTGCCATCAACACTTTTATTTATTTTTCAGTGTAGTCCTGTTTCTCTGACTGTGACTGGCTGGATGTGCTCTCTTCATCCTCTGATATGGGAGCTGGCTCGGAGCTCGTCTGCCTGGCTGTGTGTTTCCTGGACCGGGACGCCTTTTACAGCTGCTTTTTGTATCTCTGCATCTGTTTCCTTGAACCCCAGTCGGCCTCGGCAGATGGTCACGAGGCAGACACTATGTGTACTAAAATAAAATACACTAAATCGAGTATTTATCGGTTAGTTATTCACATGCTTTTTATAGTTCCCCATCTGAGCCTAGTGATCACTAACCCGAAGTGTCTGTTTCTGCAGAGAATCCAGCAAGCCGGTCCCAGCTGATACCTTGCAAATCCAGAGCTTTTTAACAAAGCAGCATTCCTTTGAACTAATCTGTTCTGCCTGAATTCTGCATCCAGTTGTCTGAGCCCTGACATAAATATTCATTTTGACTAGGAAGAAATATATTTCAGATATCAGAAACACATATTCAGTCAAGCTAATCAATGTCAAAACAGCCTGCCATAGGTTCTGTAATCACGATAAAATTCCAGGGTAAAACTAGTTTACTGGTTAATTGGTAGTGGATCAATGTATTCAATTTAGGCCCACCCACCTGTCAGCAGGTGAAAATGAAGGATAAAAACATTGTTCTTTCAGTGATAGAATGACAATGACAAACGAAAAGTGATGAGCTAAACATGGATCTTTGATGACAAAAGCATAACGACTCATGGTTGTGATGGTTCTTTCAGGCTCTGTCAAGCTAAGCAGTATCGGTGGTGCTGCTGTGTCCTTTTCAGCCACGCCCCCCACCTGCCATGCAGCGGTGCAGATTCTGCATGACCACAGATGGACGATGGCAGCAGTGGAGGGGTTAAAAGTAGACTGGAATGGTCCGGTACTGTGTGCTCAACTTTGACAAACTGCTACTTCAGCTGTACCTGTGCAGAAATGCGTCTGTGCAGCTTAGCTAAGAGTCTGCACTTTATGCCTCACATTTATGGTTTGCTCACAGCCGTATGGCTCTTCCTGCCCTCGCTACAATATATTTGGCTGATCATCCTCTGTCAAGCACAATAAAATCCTTTTGGCTAACTATTAATATTTTATTTCTTCCAGCTCACAAGAGGTGATAATCTTCTTTAATTTGTACAAAAAAGGAATCCCTAAATCATATTCAAATATTTCATTGCATACTGGGTTTTTGACAAAGACATATATTAATTTTTGGAGTGATGATTGACTGATCTATGTGTAAGGCATAGATCAGGAAGTGTTTGCTTTTGGATGGAAAGCTTGTTTGCCTTAAACCATTCCTTTATTATAATTTTGTTAACTTGTGTGCTATATTAACCAATATGATGTCTTGAACTAGACCTGCTTTTTTCACACCTTTTGTGAGACACTTCTGTATAAAGTAGAGCTTTAATTCATGCTTTTTTTTTATAAATCAAAGTTTTCTGCAAAACAGCAATGAGGAACCGCACTGCAGCATTGTATCTCCAACTATTGTAGTATTTAGGCAAAAGCTGTCAGTCTGGTAAAGAATATGGTTGTTATTCGAAATTTTAAAGGTTAACGGATTTTTTAAGTGCAATATTAAACTGACTAAAACTCGACCAAAACCTTTTTGAGTTTTAGTCAACTAAAACCTTCTAAAACTATCACATATAGTAATGACAAAAATGTGACTAAAACTAATAGAGATTATCGTCCTGAAGACATAGACTAATAATAAATCTAGGATGGCTGTAGGGTAACAGGTAGGACCTTTGCATCATCAAATGGAGTTCCTCCTCATTTTGACCCCTTCTTTCATAACACAGTATTTACTAACAGTAGAGAAAGTTTGGAAACCACTGAATTAAATATTTCAGTTATTTTTCAGCTACTTAAAGTAAACTTCAGTCAAATTCAATATTTTTTTTCCTGATAAATTTGACAGACATTAACACGAGGAGCAGACATTCAGAGTAGGTTAGACTTACAGCAGCTACATTTACGTTAATGTAATGAAATTGTATCAGAATAGAACTGATCTAAACAGAACCAGCTCTCACCTGCTCAGGTCGGCCCCTGATCTTTGGACCTGTGAATAAAGGAAAATATTTCTGTCATGGATCTTCAGGTAAAAACATACAACTTTCATCATAGTTCATGTCAGCACTGCTGTGTCTCCATCAGTCAGGATGAATAAGACCCACAGTGACCCAATAAAACGTGTGAAGCTGATAAATAAGCTTCTCTTCCCCAGTGACCCTAACAAAACAATACAGCGTGGGGCACCACCACCATGCTGCCAGCAGGGGCATCAGGTGAGGTTCTGCTGAAGCGGTTTCTTTGAGCAATAGTAGTGTGTGACCATGAAGGTGTTGCTGAGGACTAGAATGTTCAACCATGATAGAGAATAAAACCTGAGATCACTCGTCACACTGAAGCTACTAAATACAGTTTTAGAAAAAAAAACACTGACTGACCAACATGAAGGATGGAGGATCTAAACCTGATCATGAAGCTCAGCTGGTGTAAAAAACACCATCAACAGTTTCTGATATGGACCTCCATCATCCATGGATCTTCTCATTGTTCTTAGAACCAGGAAGTCGCGAATGAAACATTTAACTAACTTGGTAAATTATCACCCCTGACTATGATACATCCTACAGCTCCAATAAGTGTGAACTCACCCTCTGCCTGGTTTTCTTGGTTCTTTCCCAGTTTGTCCACAAATGGACGCAGCAGGTTCTGGACACCAGGGTCGTTCCTTGGTATCTCCTTCATTGCTTCATTGACCAAAGACATGGATCCATCAATGCCAAATGTCTGAATGAGTTTCTCAGGAAGCTCCTCCTTAAACTTGGCAGTGAGCCTTTTCTGTGAGGGACCTGGATTTTTCTCATAGAATTCCACCATCTTCTTGTACTGAGATCTCTCCAGCTTTCTGAAGATCGTGGTCATGTTGTGTTTCCACACATCTTCTGAGATGTTTGACATCTGTGGTGAAGAATAAAAATGTCACAAAAAGGAACAGATTCAAATAAATTCATCAACTAGGAAATGATTTGCCTCACTACAGCAGAACCAGCTGAATGATTTTTTTGTTGGACATAAAAGTCACAAAAAACGAGATTAAGAGGGAAATTATGGAATCACCACAAAATACAGTGTGTACGGAAAATATCCAGAACCCTTTCAATTTTTCACTCCTTGTTTCATTGCAGCCATTAGCTAAAATAAAAAAAAGGAAATTTTATTTCTCATTAATGTACAATCAGCAGCCCATATTGACAGAAAAAAAAATAAATGTAGATTTTTTTGCATGTCATTAAAAAAGAAAAACTGAAATATCAAATTGTCATAAGTCTTGCCACGCTTACAAAAGAATTTCTGCAGCACTCAAGGTTCCTAAGAGCACGGTGGCCTCCATTTTCCTTAAATGGAAGAAGTTTGGGATGACCAGAACTCTCCCTACACCTGGCTGTCCAGAAAAACTGAGCAATGGTGGGTGAAGAGCCTTGATGAGAGAGGTAAAGAAGAACCCAAAGATCACTGTGACTGAGCTCCAGAGATTTAGTACGGTTATGGGAGCAAGTCAACTATCACTGCAGCCCTACAGCGGTCAGGGCTTTATGGCAGAGTGTCCCGACGGAAGCCTCTCCTCAGTGCAATACATATGAAAGCCCGCATAGAGTTTGCCAAAAAACAACTGAAGGACTCCCAGATTATGAGAAAGAAGATTCTCTGGTCTGATGAGACCAAGATTGAACTATTCATCCATCTATCTTCTAACACGCTTAATCCCAAGTGGGGGTATGAGGGGTGCTGGTGCCTATTTCCAGCAGTCAATGGGCGAGAGGCGGGGTCCACCCTGGACAGGTCGCCAGTCAATCACAGGGTAACACAGAGACAAACAACCATTCACGCTCACACCTAAGGAGAATTTAGAGAAGCCAATTAACCTAACAGTCATGTTTTTGATCAGTGGGAGGAAGCCGGAGTACCCAGAGAGAACCGATGCATGCTCAGGGAGAACATGCAAACTCCATGAAGAAAGACCCAGGAATCAAATCCAAAACCTTCTTGCTGCGAAACAGCAGTGCTACCCCAACCCAGTCTCATGGGAAAATGTACCCCCACTACGTTGGTCCACACTGCAAAACGTAGTGGAGGTACATTAATGGCCATTTTTTTGTGGTACTGTTACGTTTCTTCTGCCTATACGCTTTCTATTGTTTTACGTCCTAGTCACGTGACTTTCAAGATTCCAGCTGGGAGAAGAAAAAAAACATATATATGGCCGACATTCGCTCATTTTTTTGTGGAAAGATTAATGACTTGAGTTTGTTTTTGCATTAAAATGAGTTTTGATTACATTTCTAGTGAGAAATGTATAGTTTGTTGCCAGAATATTTACTCAGGGAATGTACATATTCACTTGCTTGTTCGTTTCTTGCAAAGATTTTTCAAGATAATGTGAAACTCTAACATTTTGGTATAAACATGGCTGAGATTTCTCTAACTTTTAGTGGGAAAATCAATAATTTCAATCAGTTTCTGCATTTAAATGGGTTTTGATTACATTTATAGCGAGAAGTGTAGGGTTTATTTACATAATATTTACTTCGTGAACATACATAATCACCCGCTTGCTAGTTTTTGCTACGTTTTTCGGATCTCGTCAGGATTATGTGAAATTGCAACGTTTTGGCTGCTACCCATCGCCTAGCATTTAGCTGCCGCCCCGATTCAACATTGAATTCTTTGTGATTTAACTCCATCTGACGGATCAAACCCTCGCCACTGCGTGCGTTGCGTCTGAGGTTGATTTTCAGATCAATGCATTACGTCGTGGCATACGGGAGAAACTAATTAAACTAGTTAAAAAAAGGATCATGGGTTAAGATCGGATGTGTTTTATTTGGAAATCTACTGGATCCTTTGTGCATTTCACTTCCTGTTTGGTGCGATCTCATTGATGGGTTTTGACCAGATTTTGACCAAAGAGGAACTAAAAAAAACAATTTGAATACACAACCAGCATATCTGGAATCAGTGACAGAGAGCGACTGGGACCAGAAGTTTATTAATTTCTCCCCACTGATTTCCATTCAAAATGTTTTCGATCCCACCGGGCTCTAGGGAAGTGGCGGGCATACCGCCACCTACTGTTCATGAGTGTGTAGCAACATTGTTTTACATCTATTAAATTCTATTTTTTAATTTTGTATTCTGAAGATAAATAAATAATGCTTTCCTTAATCTATAAATATCTTTTATATTTCCTTTATTTCCCAATAATCCTTTAAGACTCCATTCTTGGCCTGTCCTTTCAACTCTTTTCAATTTCTTCCTTTCAGGTCCAGATGTTTTACAGTTCATCAATACGTGTTATACATTTTCCATCTCTCCACATCCTTCACATTTATCATTATTTTTCCTCCCTATTAAGTATAAATTGTCATTTAAATAAGTATGACCTACTCTTAATCTGATCATTATTATTTCTTCCCTTCGGGTTCTCTCATTAATATTTCTATTTAATACTGACTTTTGTACTTTATATAACCTTCTTCCTTTTTATCTTCATTCCACCTTTTTTTGTGTGCCATTTTTCAATTTCTTTCCTCTTAATAAATGATTTTCCTTCCCCTTTCCCTAAAGGAATTGTAATTGTTATTTGTCTACTTTTCATTCCACCTAACTTTCCATTAATTAGCTTGAAAACAGCACTTTGTAGGCACCCAGTTTCTCTAACAATGGCCCTTTTTGGGTTACCCTCCATGCATTGGGTGTCAGTTCAGTGGCAGTTCCAGAACATTTTCATAGGGTTGACCAGGCAGCACAATAATGTGCATGTGGCCAAAAAGTAATAGGGATCAAATTCGGTTCAGAGTCAAGCTATTGGTATCAGGCATCAGGTTCAATTTGCATATTTTCTTAGCCAAAACAAGGATTTGTTGGGCTATTGTAATTTTGAATTGAAAAACGTCCTGAATGGGAAGTCTTCAAACTTGAAAAACAAAGTCCAAAGTTTTTTTTTTTTTTTTTTTGGAATGATTATGACCTGGATGTCTAAGAATCTTCACCAGCTTATCAGGGAAATGAATGCCCACAATGTCTATATTCTCCAAAAGAGAATAACAGAACAGACCTTCATGAGGCCCTTGTTAAAGCTATGCATATATTTATGCATCTATGCTCTTCAAATAACTTTCTGGTTCGACGCAACATTTACATTAAATGGGTTGAGAGGTTGTTCTTTACCAGTAAATACATAAAAGATTCCCAGATGACTGCCGATGCAAACTCTCCCCTATAAAACCTAAACTAATTCTTATAAGAGAGTAAAATCTGTATTAGTCTTCATTAAACGTAGCATATTGTTTTACATAATCGATTGCTTTATTTTTGGTGTCAGCTTTTGGTCAATATGCTAACCTTAAAAGGTCAAAGTGGGAAAATGTAGTAGTAGTAGACAAATTAGCAATTAGAGGAGGCAATAACAATTACAATTCCTTTAGGGAAAGGGGAAGGAAAATCATTTATTAAGAGGAAAGAAATTGAAAAATGGCAAAAAAGGTGGAATGAAGATAAAAAAGGAAGAAGGTTATATAAAGTACAAAAGTCAGTATTAAATAGAAATATTAATGAGAGAAACCGAAGGGAAGAAATAATAATGATCAGATTAAGAGTAGGTCATACTTATTTAAATGACAATTTATACTTAATAGGGAGGAAAAATAATGATAAATGTGAAGGATGTGGAGAGATAGAAAATGTATAACACGTATTGATGAACTGTAAAACATCTGGACCTGAAAGGAAGAAATTGAAAAGAGTTGAAAGGACAGGCCAAGAATGGAGTCTTAAAGGATTATTGGAAAATAAAGGAAATATAAAAGATATTTATAGATTAAGGAAAGCATTATTTATTTATGTTCAGAATACAAAATTAAAAAATAGAATTTAATAGATGTAAAACAATGTTGCTACACACTCATGAACAGTAGGTGGCGGTATGCCCGCCCCTTCCCTAGAGCCCGGTGGGATCGAAAACATTTTGAATGGAAATCAGTGGGGAGAAATTAATAAACTTCTGGTCCCAGTCGCTCTCTGTCACTGATTCCAGATATGCTGGTTGTGTATTCAAATTGTTTTTTGTTTTTTTTAGTTCCTCTTTGGTCAAAATCTGGTCAAACCCCATCAATGAGATCGCACCAAACAGGAAGTGAAATGCACAAAGGATCCAGTAGATTTCCAAATAAAACACATCCGATCTTAACCCATGATCCTTTTTTTAACTAGTTTAATTAGTTTCTCCCGTATGCCACGACGTAATGCATTGATCTGAAAATCAACCTCAGACGCAACGCACGCAGTGGCGAGGGTTTGATCCGTCAGATGGAGTTAAATCAAAAATAATTCAATGTTGAATCGGGGCGGCAGCTAAATGCTAGGCTATAGGTAGCAGCCAAAACGTTGCAATTTCACATAATCCTGACGAGATCCGAAAAACCGTAGCAAAAACTAGCAAGCGGGTGATTATGTATGTTCACTAAGTAAATATTATGTAAATAAACCCTACACTTCTCGCTATAAATGTAATCAAAACCCATTTAAATGCAGAAACTGATTGAAATTATTGATTTTCCCACTAAAAGTTAGAGAAATCTCAGCCATGTTTATACTAAAATGTTACAGTTTCACATTATCTTGAAAAATCTTTGCAAGAAACGAACAAGCAAGTGAATATGTACATTCCCTGAGTAAATATTCTGGCAACAAACTATACATTTCTCACTAGAAATGTAATCAAAACTCATTTTAATGCAAAAACAAACTCAAGTCATTAATCTTTCCACAAAAAAATGAGCGAATGTCGGCCATATATATGTTTTTTTTCTTCTCCCAGCTGGAATCTTGAAAGTCACGTGACTAGGACGTAAAACAATAGAAAGCGTATAGGCAGAAGAAACGTAACAGTACCACAAAAAAATGGCCATTAATGTACCTCCACTACGTTTTGCAGTGTGGACCAACGTAGTGGGGGTACATTTTCCCATGAGACTGGGTTGGCCACCCACTGCACCACTGAGCAGCCCAAGATTGAACTATTCAGCATTAATTCTAAGGTTAACATGTGGAGAAAACCAGGCACTGCTCATTCCCTCCCCAATACAATTCCAACAGTGAAACAGATGGTGGCAGCAACATGCTATGGGGGTGGTTTTCAGCTGCAGGGACAGGACGACTGGTTACAATTTAAGGAAAGATGAATGTGGCTAAATACAGAGGTATCATGGAAGAAAACCTCATTCTCATTCATTTTTGGTTTGTTTGTTCTGTCGAGATGGGGTGCTGAGTGAGCATTCATTAGAAATAAAATGAACTTTATTGATTTTAGCACATGGCTGCAATGAAACAAAGAGGGGAAAACTTAAAGGGGTCTGAATTCTTTCCGTACACACTCTACATCCATCCAACTTTATTCATTTAACTTCAGTTTACAACAGGTTTTCATCTCAAGCCACCTTATCTGGGTTTCTGCAGGTTTTATCAACTTCAATTTAGGTATTTTAAAGTAGCAATCAAAATCTGCGAATATAGGTGATTATCAGTTGTCATGCTGGAACATAGCTTGTGGTTTCCCCTAGGGTTCAGTATTGGGACTGATGCGTTTTATTCTATAATTAAATTACATTCTAGTTTCACAAGTATTCAAGTTTGTTTTGTTTGCACAGGCACAAATATGTTCTTAACAAGGGAGAACTAAAAAACTGGTTTGACAAAAAACAACAATAAGGTCTACATGTTGTCCTTGAACCTGGAAAACACTAAGTTCTGTGAACAATTTAGAAATATGGATGTGAATAGGAAAATAGATGGAGTATAGGTGGAACGAGTAAAGAAAATGTGATCATTGCATGAGTATTTATGTGATAATTCTTAGTGAAGCAAAACATTGTCTGAACTACAGAGCATTATACATTATTTACCATTCATTGATGTTATAATACTTCGGCTACTGTCTTGAAGTCTGGGTAACACCTACCAGACATCACTGAAACCGCTTTGCACACTGCAGAAAGGAGCCATCAGGATAATTCATAAAGTTGGATATCAAGCCACACTTAGCCATAAGTCATTTATTGCTGCTGTTGAAGTTTTCTGAGCTGCTAGAGTTACAAACCTCAAAATGAATGTATAAAGCTAGAAATAAACAGCTGACAGACAGCATACAAAGATCATTTGTTGAGAAAGTGAGGGTGAAATTAGAGATATAATATACATTTCCAGACCTTTCATTTATGAACAAACGTGACAAGAATAAGCATATCATTAAATGATGTGAACGTCTGGTAAAAAAAATGATTAATTAAAACGATGTCCAATCCTGAGAACATTTAGGAAAAAACTCAAATTAGTTTTCTTGAAAATATGTGAGATGGAAGAAGCGTGGTGAACATCATTGCTTTGCTTAATTACTATAGAAGGGTTCATACATATTTTTTTCAATGGCGGTAATTGTTTGGACAATGGGCAATAATTATATGAATGAAGATGTTTGTTGGCACCTGTGAATTTATATATGTTTATATGTACATAAAGGTGCAGACCAGGAAGCAGAGTCATAGTTTAACACGCCTTCTCTACTGTTACCCACCCATGACTCCATCCAGATAGCGTCTTCCCCACAACCAAAACCACATAAATTAGAAAAAACATCCTCAAGGAGTCAATAATGATGATCTAATTAGAACTGATCTAAACAGAACAAGCTCTCACCTGCTCAGGTCGGCACCTGGTCTTTGGACCTGTAAATGAAATAAAATATGGTGAGATATGTCATGGATCTTCAGGTAAAAAAAAATGCAGCATTTATCAGAGTTCCTCTCAGCACTGCTGTGTCTCTGTCAGTCAGGATGAACCCCGACCCACAGTGACCCGTTAGAACATGTATGAAGCTGATAAATAGCATTCTCTGTTTCCTGGTGCAGGGAGAACAACCTGGAGCTCAACGCTCTAAAAACAGTGGAGATGATTGTGGACTTCAGGAAGAACTCAGCCCCAGCTATCTCCATCACCCTCTGTGACTCCACAATTGACACAGTGGAGTCTCCCTGCTTCCAGGGAACCATCATATCAAAGAACCTAAAGTGGGAGCAAATAAAGCCCAGCAGAGGATCTACTTCTTGCGGCAGCTGAATAAATTCCACCTGCCAAGGAGAATGATGGTGCACTTTTACGCCTCCATCACCTCCTCCATCACCATCTGCTATGCTGGTGCCACTGCCAACTGCGACTGCAGCATGTCATCCGGTCTGCAGAGAAAGTGACTGGCTGCAATCTTCCGTCTCTCCAACATCTGTACACCTCCAGGACTCTGAGGCGTGCAGGGAAGATTGTGGCTGATCCTTCGCACCCCAGCCACAAACTATTTCAGACACTTGTATATGGCTATAGATTCTGTATATATATATATATATATATATATATATATATATATATATATATATATATATATATATATATATATATATATATTTTTTTTTTTTTTTTTTTTTCTTCACCATCAACACAAAGTCAAATTCCTTCCAGTGCAAACCTACATAGCAATAAACTGGATTTGGATTCTGGTTCTCTTCCTGCTATCTGTGCAGTTCCAGAGATGTTCTCTTCACTAAGCTCATAACATCAACAGAACCTTCCCCAGTGACCCTAACCAAAGAATACAGCGTGGGGCACCACCACCATGCTGCCAGCAGGGGCATCAGGTGAGGTTCTGCTGAAGCGTTTTTTTTTTTTTTAGCAATAGTAGCATGTTACCATGAAGGTGGCGCTGAGGACAAGAACTTTCAACAATAATGGAGAATTAAACCTGAGATCACACGTCACCCTGAAGCTACTAAATACAAATAGTTTTAGTGAAAAACCACCGACTGACCAACATGAAAGATGGAGGATCTTAACCTGATCATGAAGCTCAGCTGGTGTAAAAAACACCATCAACAAATTCTGACACAGACCCAGAAACCTCCACCAACCATGGATCTTCTCATTGTTCCTCTCAGAACCAGGAAGTCAGGCATTCATAGAAACATTTCAACCAACATGGTGACATGTTTTCTAAGCCATAGAAAGGCTGTTGTTGGGCTACTCTTTAAAGCCTGGAGCTCTACACTACTCCAGACGTTTTGAATTGAGAAAGCTCTCTGGGTGGAAGGCGAAATGTCTTCAAACGTGGAAAACGAAGTCCAGTGGTTTGTTTTTAACATTCTTTTGGAATGACTATGACGTGGACGACTGAGAATCTTCACCACCAACATGGTAAATTATCAGCCCTTACCATGATACACCCTACAGCTCCAATAACTGTGAACTCACCCTCTGCCTGGTTTTCTTCATTCTTTCCCAGTTTGTCCACAAATGGACGCAGCAGGTTCTGGACACCAGGGTCGTTCCTTGGTATCTCCTTCATTGCTTAATTGACCAAAGAGATGGATCCATCCATGCCAAACATCTGAATGAGCTTCTCAGGAAGCTCCTCCTTAAACTTGGCAGTGAGCCTTTTCTGTGCAGGACCTTGATTTTTCTCATAGAATTCCACCATCTTCTTGTACTGAGGCCTCTCCAGCTTCTCAAAGATCGCAGTCAAGGCTTTTTTCCATTTAGATTCTGAGATGTTTGCCATCTCTGTTGCTGAGGAAAAAGAAACCTTTTAATAAAATGAACAGATTGAGATAATTTCTTCAACTAAGGAAATAATCTGCTTTCCATTCTGACTGCAGCAGAACAATCTGAGGGATTATCCTACTGGACCTAAAAGTTCACACCCTGATGAGATATTCTAGATGATATGATTGAACCATGAACCATAAAAGGCTGCTGGTTTTCTTTCCACCCAAGCAGTAGCACACCGGACTCCATTCATCTGATCAAGGTGAGTCTAGTCTTAAAATGATGACTTGATGGGATGAATGGAGTCTGATGTGCTACTGCATGGGTGGAAAGAAAACCAGCAGCCATACGGCCCTTTCTGGAACCACTTTGACACCCCTGGCCTAAAGGGTAAACTATGGCTTGTGAGGCATAGTATAGTAGATTATTTGTAATGCATTTTTTAACGCTGATCTGTGGTCTACAAGAGAATTGATCCTGAAGAGAAGCTACTAAGGGACAGAGATGGGAAGTAACGAAGTAAAAATACTTCATTACTGTACTCAAGTACATTTTTCTGATATTTTTACTTTATTTTACTATGTATTTTTATGGTGACTTTTTACTTCTACTCCTTACATTTTTACACAAATATCTGTACTTTCTACTCCTTACATTTTAAAAAATTGTCTCGTTACTTTAGTTTTGAATCATTTCAATGGAGTTACCGTTATTATTTTTCACGTCATCAATACCAAATTCAATCTAATTGGATGGGAATCTACGTTGCATTTGACGCACCACTACAAGATGAATCGACAGATTCGGCGGTATTCATTTGCGGCAAATCATTGCAGCTTGGTGGCGGTGGCGTTAGCATAGTAGCATGGACAACGAGATGATTGAAAATGAACACAACGGAGATCTAGTCCTATTGGCAGACATCCATTTAAAATGTAGGCAACGGCATGAAAAAAGTGGTTTCTACTTTTACTTTTATACTTTAAGTAAATTTACAAGCCTGTACTTTGTTACTTTTACTTGAGTAAAGAAGTTTAATCAGTACTTCCACTTTTACCAGAGTATTTCTTAACACAAATATCTGTACTTTTACTCAAGTACGGAAAGTGAGTACTTTTGCCATCTCTGCTAAGGGAGTGGCTGTCGGCATACTCTTGGTCTTTGAGGACTCTGCTGCAGCAGTGACTTCTCCAGTGGTGCAGAACATTGCTGTTATTTTGGAGGAAATAGTAGTTCTTGAGGACCTCCCGGATCATCCAACTGCATTGGCATATCTTTTTGGCCTTCTCTATGCTCTCAATATTTCCTACCTAAAGACTCTTAAGTACACTCTACACATTTCAAAACAAGTTCATGGATATTGGCTCTGATAGCATACAGCCTGTGCGATCTCTGAAGAACAAGCTCTCGCTCTAAACTCTGGTAATCTGCACTTGAGTAAATGACATATCCTTAACAGTAAACTAGATATGTTTGGCTACGATGGCTGTTTTTACAGTTTGTGTAACAGTTTAAACAGCAGATCAGTTTTTTAAAACTGGTTTGATATTGTTCTGCCGATTGTAGCTAGAGTTCTTGTATAAGAAAGCCTACATGTTCTCATTGTTTTATTGGCTTTATTGAGGGTGAGCTAAACAAAATCTGGAATGCTTGATAGATGCTCATAGAAACGTTGTTTAAAAGCTTTTATAAATATCAGTATGTGTAATTTTTTTACAAACTATATATATATAGAGAGAGTTTTTTGTTAAAGTTGAGTTAATACTCTGAACTACACTGTTAACTTATTTTAGGCTGTTAAATTATATAATGTAGGTATTTAGCCATACCTATGGTGTGATTTAATGTTTTTCTCCATTATAAACTGTGAAATTTCAATTTGATAAAAGTTCAATAAAGTAAGAAAAACATGGAATCGAGTATTATGAATTTATCAAATAATGTACGTACTTTGGCTAATAAAAAGTAATTGACCAAAGTTAACATTTACGGTGTAGATAATTAGTTTTATGTACTTTTGTGAATAACACCATTCATGTTGGCAAAATGAAGAATTTAGAGTTTAGCGAATTAGCCAAACAAACTAAAAGCAATTGGTACAGCGATGAATTTCAACTTCAAACAATCCGGTGGCAAATCGTTGAGAGAACGCAAAATTCTTACTGCATAAGGTTGCTTAAATTTTTTTATATTCTCAGTTATTCTTTTCTTACAGCGATACGTGCTTAGTATATTTAGGTCCACACTTTTACCAGTCAGATGTTTGTTCTGAGACATTAACTTTTCAATCTTGAATATTTAATCTCTCTGGAATTTAGGGAAACAAAAGCCCTAATATTTTCAAACTCAACTTTGAAACAATAGCTGAGAAAAACTTTTGAATTTATTTAATTTATATAGTTTGTCATGATCTGGCCTGATTCCTCCACCTTAATGTTTTATTTCTTTCACCTGTCGTTTTCCTCCCTGCTGCAATTATCATTTATCCCTCTCACCTGTTTCCTTTGCTTTATATTCAGTTCAGACGGAGCATTTGGGGCCAGATTATTGTTTGATTTCTGTTAACTTTCTGTTTGTTCCCAGTTTGATTTCTGTTTCTCCGCTCAGTCAGTTTTGTTAGTAAGTTTAGTTAGTTCTAAGTTTCTTGTCCCTGTTCCAGTGAGGACTTTATTCTTTAGCCAGTGTCCTCAGGCGAGTTATTCCCCAGTGGTGAGAGCGTTTCAGTGTGTCCCAAGTGATTCGGTTTTCCTGATTCTGTTCCCTCTCACCCACCGGCTCTGTTTGCCTCTGCCTGATCTGCCTGCCTGAACCTCAGTTGGACTCCTGCTGGATTCTGACCATCTGTGCATTTTCAGTCTGAGCTGGATGCCTTCTCGCTCTGATGGATTCCTGGAAGCCGGATCTGTCCGTTCTGTGGTGGACTGAACTGTAGAAACAGGTAAGTGATTCGCTATAATTATCATCTGTTCAGATGATCGTGGTCACTTACCTGCGTTCTCTCTACAAAATCAGAGATGGCACCTGCAGTCGCTGTACCACAGCAGTGTGTGTCTGTTCCACCTGTTTTTGTTTAAATAAACGTTTTGAACTTTCCTACTAGCTGTCTCACCTTGAATACTGGGTCCATATGTCACGTTTATGAGATAGTTCCTACTGAATCAGATTCATTTATACAAACTCCTACAGATTCCGTCAAATATGTGATTCTGGAGCTGCTCCTGAAAAGCATGTAGAAACCAGCCCACCATGTGTGCGGATCACGATCCTATTGATTTCTTTTTTTTTTTTCCTATTGATTTCTTCAAACAACAGAACCTTCCAGTACCAAAGGACTTTGTAGTTCCTTGAAAGGTTTCTTTTATTTTGGTTTAGCTGGACCAACGGCACAATTCTAACCACAAATATGGAGCATAAACTAAATCATTCAGGCCTTTTGTTAATGATCACAGTGTAATACACAATTATTTTCTTCTATTTAAGGATTTATTGAAATAATCTAAAAATAATTATTTTTGATTGACAAACTGATTTTAATCTACAGTGTGTATTAATTCAATTAAAAAATTGAATACCTTTTTCTTTTGTTATTGTGTGATTTATAACTTTTACATTTGGTATGCACATTGCTTACTAAATGCATTACAGTGTAACTGCCTTATTTCTGGTTCTTGTTTCATAGATTTAATTACTTTTTTTTTCAATCATTAATGTCAAAGAAATACAATTTCAGAATAAGGTCCTTTATCCTTTATCGGGTTTTAAATACAAGACAAATCACAACTAATTCCCCTGATACACTGAAAAGTATGCCTCACCTATAAATATCATATATTGGGAAGCTGTTTAGAAAATTGTTCTTGAAAAGGAGATCCAATGAATGATCTGTATGTCACATTAATGAGCATAACGGAGGTAGCCCAAATAAAAACGTTTTTTTTTTTTTCTTTAAGGTTTGCTGCTGCATCCATATCTTCCTCCTTCTGCTTTTCTTTTGTCATTAATCCCTCTCCTATTTCTTATCTTTCTCCTTTTTCATACTGATAGGTATGGAAGAGGATTAGGGCCACTGAAAAAAGAATAAGCTAACTGATTTTTAAATTTTATTTCAGTTTCATATAGGAAAAAAGACAGAATTCTGAGATTAAAGTCAGGATTCTGACTTTTTTTCCCCATATTAAACTGAAATAAAATTTAAAAATCAGTCAACTTTTTTTTTTTTTCTGTGGCCCTAATCCTCTTCCGTATACAGGCGATAGCTGTTGATTTACAGTTAATTGCTCTGTTCGAAAACCTGGGACGCGTCCTTAGAAGGCCAGATTCGAAGGATGATTATGTCATAGAGCAGCGCCGAGGTCTGGCCGGATTCCAAGAGGCCTCGTTATGCGACCTTAAAATGCGTCCTTCTTTTTGCCCGATTTGAAGGACGGGTCTGATGTCTCCTCAGTGTTCTTGGATATCCCAGGATTCATTGCCAGACCAAGCAAGCCGTGATCAGAGGAAAGGTTACTTGGCGCCGAACAGTGGTGAAATTTGGAAGTTCAGTTTAATATAATACAACTCTGTGAATAGTTCCGTCTGAAATGAATGAAAATACAGGTGCTGGTCATAAAATTAGAATATCATGAAAAAGTAGATTGATTTCAGTAATTCCATTTAAAAAGTGAAACTTGTATATTATATTCATACATTACATACAAACTCATATATTTCAGATGTTTATTTTGTTTAATTTTGATGATTACAAATGACAACAAATGAAAATCTCAAATTCATCATATCAGAAAATTAGAATATTGTGAAAAGGTTCAAAATTGATGGCCCCTGGTGCCACACTCTAATCAGCTAATTAACTCAAACCACCTGCAAAAGCCTTTAAATGGTCTTTCAGTCTAGTTCTATAGGCTACACAATCATGGGGAAGACTGCTGACTTGACAGTTGTCCAAAAGACGACCATCGACACCTTGCACAAGGAGGGCAAGACACAAA